AGATGTTTGGTACTGTATTAATAATAAATGTACAAATGACAAACACCTGTTTCTCACTGTCAAATGTATGATTTTTACAGTGGGTTTTCAGTAAAAGAATTTATTTTTATTTTATGTTTTTTAAAAAGAACATATTCTGCCATTTAACAATAACTTTTCACAGGAAAGTGTGCAATGAGCTAACGGAAACTTTTCTCTTCTTGTGCACATTTAAGAGTCATGCTGAAAGACTTCTTTCATTTCCCACAGCAGAATTTCTTCATCTCTAGAGAAAACTGAAATGCATTGTTGAAATTAGACTTCTTTTTTATATTAGAATATACCAGGGATTCAGTGTGTTGTTGAACCTCTTAACACTGACAGAAAGCGTCATTTTCACTGGTCTAGTCCACTTGAGATCAAAGTGGGCTATATTTGGGCCACGATGTAAAATGAGTTTGACATGCCTGTGTTGCCTGTGTTACAGTTTTAAGAATAAGGAGAGAAATGGATCAATATGCTGAGATTTACTTACTTTATGTCCAGGTTTTGGGGCAGTAATCTGAGATGTCTGCTAAGGCCACAATATGATATTTTGAGCTCTGGAACCTAAAGATAATGGATATGTTCTGTAAAGTGACCACTTTTTTATTATTATTATTATTATTTTTTTTTAAATAAAGTGAACTGAAAGAGCAATGCCAGTTGCATATACATAAAATGACACCTAGTGTGGTATAAAGGCTTTGTTCACCTGTGGCATACACAGTTTACTTGCAGCTGTGATGGAGGCATGGAAATAATGAAAGAAGAGATAAGAGGAGAGGAGGAGAAAGAGAGCAGCAGCAGCAGTCTAAACAGGCAGTGTCTGCGCAGGAGGAGAGAGGAAGTAGATAAGGACACAATAGTGTGTTAGGACAGAGGACCCACAGGAAACTCACCTGCATGAAAGAGACAAAACCATTAACAGCCCCCCTTCTCCCTCCGTCTGCCTAACTGTCTATTTAACATTCACTCTCTTTCTGTCTCGTCCTGATTGTTTACATTTAGGGCTTTCCGCAAGGATATAGAGCAGCCAATGAAGAAAACTAGCCAGCTAGGGACGTGTAGGTCCCCCAAAATAAAAACATGGCCTTAAAAGTAAAAATCTGGCCAATATGTTCACATGGACCTATTACTTTTTGTTAAGTTCTCTCTTTCTCTTATATTTCAAATAACTAAACTACGGACGACAAGTGACTGTTTTTACTTTGTTTTTAGCAACAATGACGGTAAACCCAGCGTGTGGCTCTGCCGTCCACTTATTTTCTACATAAACCTTTCACAATAAAGCTGAAGATCTTGTTGAGGTTTTTCAAAATTAACTGAAATGATGACAAACAGAAGGACCAGTCAAAACAAATCAAGAACCTTATTTCTAAACGAGGGGCTACCTCTGACATGGACATGGTTTGGTTCTGAAAAATGGGACATGGACAGAAAAGAGCCGTCAGGTGCTCAAAATAAACCTTAGACTCAAATGTTAGAACAGGCTTTTTCCAGCAGCATGCCATGTAATAAATATTCACAAAGAAAATGGCGGCTGTTACAACTTATGTCTAAAATGTAGTTTCATGTAGGGCTGTGCAATATGTCCAAAATCTCATATCCTGATTTAAGACATCTATCGTCCCAATAACGATATAAATCACAAAAATGTAACATTTTCTGTAAATTCAGTGAAACTCGGGCAGCTCGACTTGCGTGAAGAGTTTCCAGCTGGGCATCGTGTACCTGGAGTCGAGTGTTTTAACCGATGCATGAAACAATACATTTTTAGACACAAGTTGTAACGGCCGCCGTTTTCTTTGTGAGTATTTATTACACAGCGTGCTGCGGGGAAAAGTCTGTTTGAAGGTTTGAGTCTAAGGTTTATTTTTTAGCACCTGGCGGCTCTTTTTTTCTTCTCATCGGTAAACACTCTGCATACTCTTTCACGTGATTCAGTTTATTTTGAAAAGTCTCAACAGGATCTTGAGCTTTATTGTGAAAGGTTTATGTGGAAACTAAACAAGCGGACATGCAATGGTTTTACTGTCGTTGTTGCTAACGACAACACATAAAAACAGGCGCTTGTCCGCCTGTAGTGTGGTTATATTAAATATAAGAGGAAGAGAGAACTTTAACAAATTAATATAGCCACTACAGTGACCATCAAAACCATGAAAAAATATTGCCGTAAACAGTTTATTTTGCGACACCACGAAACAAACGATAGTTTTAAATGAAACGATAGATGTTTTTATATTGTCATCCGATGTACATCGTTATATCAAACAGCACTAGTTTCATGCATCGGTCAAAACACTCGACTCCAGGTAGACGACGCCCAGCTGAAAACACTTCACTCAAGCTGAGTTGCCTGAGATTCACAGAATTTACAGAAAATTTTTGTGATATATATCATTGTCGGCATGATAAATGTGTTATATCGGGATATGAGATTTTGGTCATATCATATCCTAAATACACCCTTTTTAAAGAAAATAAACAGGATTAAATGCACAATAGCACTAAAAAAGCTTGATTATCATCATATTTTAAATCTCCTAAAGTATGTAAGTAGTTTTATTTCGGCACCAAGCCACTGCAAGATTTGCTTGTATCAAAGTAACCCAAGATGTTAGATTTTCCCAATTCTATACAACAAATAACACAGCACACAAAACACATCTTTTGCAGCTAGTACACTCAAAAATAATTCAAATAAAACAATAGAGTAGTGCTTTTTAGTATATGTCGACAAAAATGGTGCTAAGGGTTTAGGGTGTGATGCCAGCTTCTTCACTGTTTTGGTTTACCCTCACCCCTCTATAGCCTCAAAGCCCAGTTGAACAAAGCCTTTAACATCCATTGTACATTACCCACTTATCAGTAAATGGGAAAACACAAAGCACAAGATATTTCCTTTAAGAGTTGGTTAAGCCCAAAAGCAGACTTAAAAGTAAGTAAATATTGGAGATAGAGAGGTAGCGCCCTACCTGCTACAGAGCATAGCCATTAACTTTACGTTCCAGAGCCAAAAATAAGGTGTTGGGGCCTTAGCAGCAATATGGTCAAATATATTGTTTGGAGCGCCCAGCATGGACAGGAATTGAAATCACTATATCAGAGGAACAGCATAAGTGGAGCAGTTTGGAGACAAACTAAGAGAGGCAGGGCTGAGACTGTTTGAACTTGTATAGAGGATGGAAGAATGTATAAAGTAAAGGATGCTGAATATGGAGCTGCCAGGCGTTAGGAATAGAAAAATGCCACAAAGAAGATTTGTTGATGCAGAGAGCCAGTGAAGGAGAACATGTTAGTTGGTGGAGCATGTTAGGGACAGGCTGCTATGGATACAGATGATCTGCTGCAACAACCCCTAAAGTCAGCGGGCCAAAATCATGAGTTGTATGAGTTCTTAGAGTTTTAAGATTGGATAGTGTTGTAGTGTGGCTGTAAGGTTGCGCACTGCGTTTCTGTGGCAGATTATGAATTGTAACAGAGAATGACAAAAGTGGATGGTGTGCACTTGTCATTTGTTGTCTAACAGAGTCTCGGGATTACCAAGAAATTCTTCTGACCTAGTATTAATAACTAAAGCTTTAAGTGAAAAAAGTAATTCAGAAATCATAATCTGTCCTTGTACAGTGCATGTCTTTTGTGTTGTCATAGTTTCACAGCCTTTAGAGGCTTGAAACTCGTCAAGTACAATGTCTTTGGTTTCAGTGAAATAAAGCCAAGACGCGGCATCTCTGTACTGCGCCGTAACAGCTGTCATAGTTTCCGTCACAGTTTAAGAAAGTTGTTAGAGGTTCATTT